ATATACTCAAAATAAATTATATGACTGTTATTTGCCCAAAATATAAACATTATGGGTATTTTTCTCACTTTGCCCTTATAAGGGCATATAGGAAGAGATAAGAGTGTTTTCGAAATTTTATATCTTAACAGTGACTTCAGGCCCTTAATTATTTTTTTTTTCTTCTCATTTTTCAAACATAATGGATTTGTCATAAGCTATTATTTACTCATTTTTTCAAACTTAACGGAATTATATACCCAAAAATAAATAATAGCTAGGGGTGTTATTTGCCCAAATTTAAAACATTAAGAATGTTTTTCTTACTTTTAATTCCCTTAAGGCCCTGTTTGGTAAAGTTTTCAGTTTTGATTTTCATTTTGTTTTTGAAAATGACAAAAATGTGCGTTTGATAACTCTATTTTGAATTTTCAAATTTCAAAACTTTTGAAAACTCTTTTCATATTTCCTTCACAATTTTCAACTCTATAAATCTTTGGTTTTGAAATACTGTTATTTTATTATTTTTCAAAATGAGAATTAGAGAAATGTTATTTTATTATTTTTCAAAATGAGAATTAGAGAAATATTATTTTATTATTTTCCAAAATGAGAATTAGAGAAATATTATTATATTATTTTATTAGTTTTCAATAATACGTCAATAGTAAATAAAATATTATTTTATTAATTTTCAATTATACTCATACAATAAGTAAAATTTTAAAATATTTTATTATACTTGAATAGTAAAATTAAAAATGTTATTTAATTAATTTTTAATTATAGTCAATTGTAAATATAATATTATATTATTATTTTAATTATACTCAAATAATAAATAAAATCAAAAAATATATTTTATTATGCTCGAATAGTAAAATAAAAAATGTCATTTTATTATTTTATTAATTTCAATTATACTCAAATAAAAAATAAAATATTATTTTATTATATTTTAATTATACTCTAATAGTAAATAAAATTAAAAAATATTTTTTATTATACTCGAATGGTGAAATTTAAAATATTATTTTTATTAATTTTCAATTATAATCCAATAATAAAAAAATTATTATTTTATTAATTTTCAATTATACTCAAACAGTAAAGATAATTTAAAATATATTTTAGTATACTTGTATAGCAAAATTAAAAATATTTTTTATTAAATTTTAATTATACTCAAAATTTTAATATAATATCATTTTATTATTTTTAATTATACTCAAATAATAAATAAAATTAAAAAATATAACTTATTATACTCAAATGGTAAAATTAAAAGTGTTATTTTATTTTTTAATTATACTCATAAATAAAAGAGTCAATTAAAAAAAATTACAAACATATTTTCTCTTTTCAAAAATTAAACAGTAGATGTACGTTACTATTTAGTTTTGACAAAAATGACTGCATAACTTTTCAAAATTTGCCATTTTCACGAAAATGAAATCACAGCTTTACCTAACAAGCCCTAACTAAATTAGGCTTTGAAAATTAATTTTTAGTTATTATAGGTTGACATTAGAATTTTAATATTAAAGTGGTCACGTGCAACACATGTGCCACATGTACGAATTGTTTTAACAAAGGTACCATTATGCATATGCGACAAACACTCTCAACTTCTCATTTTTTCCTGACAGTTTTATGTACTTTTCTAGCGGTTTTCTTCACCGGTGATGTCTTAAATTCTTGTAGCATACTCCATAATTCATAGAAAATGGACTTGATGCATAATTTGCTACTACCTTATTATTTTTTAAAAATATAATTTTAGAAATAAATAGCAAGAAATTACTACAAAGGATTTTGTGACAACAAAACTATTTTAAAATTAATATGTACAATGTAACAAAATGTGGTTGTTTTTTAATTAGTTTGTGCAGTGTAGCAAAATGAGCTACCTTTTCTTAGACTGTGTCGTTTCAGGAAGAGTTTTTCATCCATTGCAGCAAAAAGAAATAAATTTGTTAAGATATGTTTGTCGCACGTGGTGCAATACATTTTTTTTTTTACTAATTTGTAGTTTTTATAATCCATTTGTATCAATATCTACAAATCATCATTATTCATATAATTGAACTCTAATTAAAAAACAAAGAGTCATAGAAGTCATCAACCATTGTCATCTGTTAATCAAGGGTACTGAGGGGAGAATAGACTGAATATACAGCTCTCTAATAGTTTTTGAATAATGTGGTTGCTCTCAAGATTCAAATAGGAACACCACCGCAAAGGTGTGGTGAATCCTAATTTTCTTGCATGACATTAACAACATCAATTGATTTTAAGCGGATAAATGTTACTCTCACTCCTAATATCCTTTCCACGTTTGCACGATTTAATATATTAAGAGATACGTATATGAAAATCGTTTGAGAAATGCTTTGCGTCACAATCACGCGCTTGTATAATACACCATTAAAAAAGTCAACTACAAAATACTAAAGAAGTTAATTTGTCTCTCAATTATTACATTGATAGTCTTGCTTAGGGGTGACAAAATGAGTCAGGAACCATTAACCTGTCCAGATTTGCTCGTCTTTTAATGATTATGGGTGAATCATATTTAATTGAGGGTCAAGATGGGTTGGGTAATATTTAACCACTTAATTTTAGGGTTAAAATGGGTTGAATATGATTAATCATATTCAACCCATATTTCACCCATCACATAATAAACACATAACACACATCTATTTTATATTACGCTCAACTCATTTCTCTCTCTAAAATTCTCTCTCACAATCATCTCTTTCTAAATCTATCTCTCATTGATCCCCTCTTTCTAAGTTTCTCTCTCCAGAAATATCTTTTAAAAGAAATAAATAATTAAAAAATAATTTAAAAAAATTTAAAAAATAATAAATAAATAATTTTTTTTAAAAATAAATAAATAAACTTTAAAAATATTACTTTTCCATTTGGGCTCTCTTATTGCAATGAATATATTTTTCTTATTTTTTTTTTTTTATTTCTCCGAAATAAAGATCGGCAAGTAAAAAACAGAGAGTGCTAAATTTCTTAGTAGCACTCTTGGACCAGTGCCCAGATTTACCCACCTGGAGGAGCATTTAACAATCTAAAAATTTTAAAATCATGGCAACATGGGCTCAATGAACCAAGGATTAGGTAGTGACCCCCCTCTCTGACCACCATTTCAGTGGGGAGAGAATCAACAACACAATGCAAGCCACACCCACACCGACACCCACACCCAGAGAGAGAGAGTATAATTTGAGTTTTTTTTTTAGAGAGAGAGTATAATTTGAGATTTATTTTATTTTATTTTATTTATTTTTTTATTTTTTTAAGTATGGACTCATGAAAGGTGTAAGTGTTTATGCCCTCAGCCCTGTTGTCAATTGTGGATTAAACAATTTATTTTTATTTTTATTTATTTATTTTCAAATAAGTCCCAAAGACCCCACCTCCTCTAATGAATGAAAATTTACCTAAAAATTAATAAGTTAAAATTTAAAAATTATATATATATATATATCTAAAATTAAAAATAATAATTAATGGGTCTACGGATTATAACGGGTTGACCCTGTCCATTTTCAACCCGTTCATTTTCAACCCGTTCTGAACGGGTTGAATATGGGTCTTGACCCATCTTAACCCGCTCATTTTCAATCCAACCCAAACCCGACCCGACCCGCCCATTTGCCACCCCTACTATTATAGGTAAACTAGTGGATGATGAAGATTTTATAGAATTGATTTTGGCCATGTCTATAAGAGCAGAGTGAATCCCATACAAGCTAGAACGAGATACACCTTTCTGGGTTGCTTGAGTGCAGAAACGCGTTGAGTAAAATACAATTCCAGCAGATGAAACAACTGCACTTTTCTTTCAATATTTTATGTTTCAAAAAAGCCACTGTAGGTTAGAATTTTGTTTTGTTTTTTTTTTTTTCTTCGGTAAATGCCCTATCCATATAGGTTAAGGAATTATTTACACTCAATGGAAATCGAACCTTACCCGATGGATGTTTCATAAAGCACCAAGTCTAGTGCTATGTTTGGTTTAAGGGAATGATTGAGGAGGGAGGAATGAGAGCAGGAATAAATGAGTTTTTTTGTATTTGATTTGAGGGAAGGGAAAAGAGTGAAGAAGCAAGAAGAGATGAATCATCCATCCCTCAATACTTTGTATTTTTCTATCAGCCCAAAATTAGGGGAATAGGAGAGAGAAAGGAGGAGCAATTACTGCAAGTATGTAATTTTTATTTCTAACCTTCCCAAATATTTGGAATGAATACCTAATTTTATATAATGAGAGTCTATAGGTAAAAATAATATGATAGAAGCATCTTTCCCTTCTTTTCAACCAAAAAAACATATATATATCACATCATCCAGTCACTTGAATCAACTCCCTGGAGCTAACAATAGTTATGATGTAGACGAATTTTTATGGCTAAATCAACTCTAAATGTCTGATTTATAGTAGTGAGATCTTTATACTTATTGCAAATGAGGATGATTGTTGAATTCTCTCGGGAGAAAAAATTCACAAATATTAATTGTGGGTGTATGTGTGTGCCTTTCTTTAGCAGTAAGACAGCACACGGGTGAAACCTTCCTTAATCTTCATATATAATTATATATACACATATATAAACAGTTATAGCTACCGTATCAGGATCATTTTGAACAGTAATGTGTATATTTATATGCTTTTATGCAAGTAAGAAATGGGTTGAGAGTTGCGAAATTACCTCGATTTGTGTTCCACCCTGTCCTAACGGAGTGGCTTAAAACGAACAAGAGCCTTACACATACTCACAAGGAAAACTTTTTAAAATCGCTGTGTTAAAAATAATTATGAAAGCCTGTGATCAGATAATTTTAAGATAATCATTTGTCAAAAGCAATTAAGGTGTGTTTATTGCATGAAATTGAAGTCTTGGAATTTGAATTGGTAAAATTTGAGAAAAATAATTCCAATGCTTCAATTTCATGCGATCGAACACACCCTTAATGTTTTTTAGTTCTTTAAAAAAAAAAAAAAAAAAAAAAAAAAAAAGCAAAAAAAATCTCATAAAACTTAACCACGCACGCAGTTTTCCACCATCCCATCACCAACTAGCTTACCATTCTCGGGCTCTATGAACCACCCTTTTGTATGAGCTAAAGGTCAAGAGAAACAGAATTAACTTGTACTCTTCGTACCCAAGAAAGACTGAAAGTTCATAAAGATGTTCATATGACCATCCATCCACAACACGCGTGTGATCGCGCACACTGCAACGGATCCCAATGACGCATTTCTGCCACCGGAAGTTGGAACCATTCATTTTTTGAGGTTTGGCTGTTTGGTCACACTGGTGGAGCCTCTAAAAAGGAATGAGATGAGCATCTCTGGAGATCTTTGCTCTCCACTTTACTTGTTCCCCCTTCTCTTCAATCTTCCGGAGCTGGTAGTGGTAGAGAAATGGGTGCTTTTTCTGTAGTGTTCTTCTATGTCCACCAGGAAGCTGTAAGAAAAGGTCAGAAGAAAAATACAATAGACGATGACTTGATCACCTTATAAACAAATGACTTGACAAGGATAGCTGCATAAAAGATCCAAAACAAAATGAGAACTACCATCACTGACAGATAAAGACAATGTCGGACTAATTAAACATCGTATGTCCACACAACAGAGCAGTGAAAGGACTTAGAAAAGCTTCCAAGTCTTTGTAACATTTAAGCGAGCATCAAAACGGGGTGGTCCACTTTATTTCACAAAGCAAAGGTTAAAACCAAGTAACCCTGGTGCTTCTAATAAAGTCAAAGGGCGGCTGTTCACTAAACAAAGTGAAAGAAAGGACAGTTCGGATGTAGCTATTTCCCAGAAGGCATACTATAAAACTTCATGTTTGTCGCCCTTCAAACCTATTGCTGGTTAAGTACCTCTTCCTTCTTGGGTCTGCTTAAGAAGAGCTGCCGCCAGTTGTAAAGTTGCTAGAAGCCTTTTCTGGCGATCTGCATCTGCTTCCTCAAGCGTACCAGATGTTTCGGGATGTTGGTTCCCTTGATTGCCTATCTGACGCTCTCTTTGAGGCTCTGTAGGCACACTTAATATCTGCGGCTGCTGCTGCAATTGTTGCAATGGACCAAACTGAGATGGTACTCCTGAATATGATGCTGCCACCGGGTATGATGTATCCCCATGAGAAGACATTACATTTGTATCTTTTCTCTCATTTGGATGAAGAAGAGATCCACTATTAGAACTAGGGTGCTCCAACCTCAACACAACACCAGAGATGCTCAGTTTCCCTGGTACCTTCAATATTTTCTCAGAAAATTCTGAAGGAGGTACAAGAGACAAAGTTGTGTTTTCATCCAGCTTAGCCACCGCTGCTCGCTGTTTCTCCCCCAGATAATCCAAGAATTCATTGTACATATACATATCAGCATCACTTTTAGGGGCAAAGAATACCACCCAAGAACTAGCTGCTTGATAGTAACGCTTTGGAAGAGTGTCAAGATTAGTCCTTGCGGTGAAATCCAAGAATTCAGGTCTGCAAAATTGAGAGAGACTATGTAAGTGTTTGCATTACGCCAATTCAATAGGTAAGCAAGAGAAAATTGTAATTTCATTTAAACTAGTGTACAAGTACATTGGATGTCCCATGGAATTGAAATCACTCCACTACATTTTACAACAATTTTTGAACAAGTCCAACTTGTTCTCATAGCATTTAAAAATAAGTCCATTTTAGTTGGTGTAAAATTCAGTTGGTATTAACAATCACTATGACGGATGGAGTTTTGTCTTCGTACCCTATGGATCTGCCAATATAGCCTGGTTCTAATTCCATGAGATAACATCTATGAGAGTAAGTACTTTCTCCTAATATGGAAGATAATTAATGACATAAAAGGTTAATCAAACTACAAAATGGTGAAAAAAACAAAAAAAAATTACAAAATGGTGCAGTGACAAGAAAGCCAAGTGTTGGATTATATAATGTCTTGAGTTCCCATGGAAAGACAAAAGTGGGCAAGAGAGTGACAAATAGTTAGCATACGTCACAGCTGGAAAAAGAAAAACTGCAAATAGCCTTTTGAGATATTTGAAGCTGATGACAATTATTCCAAAAATTTCAACTAACAAGGACAAATTCACCACTTACAACATCATGTCCAGTACTTTTCCCACAGGCAAGCAGCAAGCACGACAGATGGGAATTCCTCCCTTTGCTATAGTTCCTTCCCATTTCCACTCTCCAGTTATGGAAGACTGATGCGATTCGGGGGTTAATCTTTTCCACTCAACAGGGTTCGAAAGCAATGAACCAGAACAAACTTGAAAACTATCATAAGATGCATTCCAGTGATTGCTTCTCTCCCCATAAGAATGATTCATTGCATGATCAGGGATCTGTTTATACCCAAAAGATCCAGACTCGAAGTTTTTATCAAGGAACTCAGGCTGGGGAAAATCGGGGAAGGTCCTAGGAAGAACATGCTTTGCATCTTCTGGAAGCCTGTTCTCTAGAGTAAAGGAGCCGGTCCTCAGTTTCTTAGCTCCATGAAAAAGTAAGGCATCTTCTGGAAAGTCCCGAGGAGTGTCATAGAATGGACCTTTTCTAGAAAATTGCTGAAAAAAATCATGGAAGTGAGCACCTCGGTCTCCTGTAGGAATAATATGATGTTCATAGATATTTTCTGCACCATTTCCACCCATCCATAGATTTTCTTTCCAGCTGAAAGTCATGAAATTAGGATAACCAGATCCCACATTTGGGATAAAACGAGATCTCATGGTGGGATCTCCAGATATATTCCCAAAATTCATTTCTGGTGGAAAGTTCCCAGTTGATCCTGGGTGCCCATATGACTTAAAATACGGGGAGGATGGGGCATTCCCTGAGTTCCTTTTGCTGTTGGATGTCCCAGTTTCACTCTTTGCAAAACCAATACGTACACGGGGATTGCCAAACAATTTTCCATGGAGAGTTTCTTTAGCCCTGCAAGCTGCCATTACATTTTTGAACCGAACAAAGGCATAACAACGATCAGGAAATGTAGTAATCTTCACAATCTCACCAAATGGTGAAAAGGCCTCTCTTAAAATTACTTCATCCACCTTCGGTAAAGGCGGAAACGAAATCCATAAATCCTCACTCGGTTCAGCATTTCTGTCACCCATCTTGGATTTGTCAGGACAAGATGGGTCAGTACTAGAACAATGTGTTATAGAGTCCCTCTGAGAGAATGGAGATCCTCTTACAGCAGAGTGTTGTTCATATCGGAGTTGCAAGTACGCATCAACATATGATGGCGTCGAAGACTAATCCTGTGATGTAAACTCATATCAGGTGTGAAGCTAATTATGATCTGTTTTGATAGAGATGAGAAACCAATTCTTCTTTTGAGGAGGTTATATAGCCTTTTGAATCACTAATCAGTACACAATCTAGAAACTAATTAATCGAACAAAGCAGATAAGATTATATCATGAATGAATTGATCACAGCAAAGTACAAAAGAAAGGTACTAAGCTATGATTACATGCAGAATGGAGAAAAAAATGAAGCATAATAAAAGTCATCATAGTCTCACTATGGAAACCATATATATCGATTTATTATCAAAGCTTCAAAACATATTTTAACAACTACTGATAGTGTTCAGGCAAAAAGAATGATTGGGAAAAAGTAAAAGAAAGACTAGAACATGAAGTTGAAAATCTAAAGCAGACTTACTACTAAAGAGAAAGGTCTAATAATTATGATTGCATCCATAATGGAGACAGAATTGAAGCATACATGGCCATCATATTCCCATTTGGAAAACCATTTAAAAGAGATTTATTATTAAGACAATCTTACAAAAAAAAAATTAAACTAACTAATGATGGTGCTAAAAGATGAAGGAATAGGAAAAGTTGAAACAAGACCTACCAAAAATGAAGTTGAAACTCCACAGCGAACTTACTTCAACAAGAATACATTACAGTTACTCTTTTCTTTCCATTTCTATAGATTCTTTTGGTTTCAGGAGTAAGGAATAAGACTAAGAAACACCTCTCAAACAAAAGTACAATATAATCACAATAAGCATAAAAGGACTACCTTCTGTAAATACTAAATGATACATAAGATGGTTTGCTACTAACTACATCATGCACCATGACAATGGTGCTAACAGAAAGAAACATCATTTACAGCAGACACTCAAGTGAAATTATTTCATGACTTCATGCTTCCTTTTTCCATCCCATTAAAGACCCGAACACTACACCTTCCCCTTTGGCAGTGGCACAAGATATTACTCAAGCTAATGGCTAGTGGTGTTTCATGCACACTTTGCACTACTGAAATGTACAGTAATGCTCTTCTGACAACTTAAGCTTAAAGAAAGTCGCTCGTTAATATGTTAATGGCCAATCATTTATTGCTCATAGTTTTTTAATTAAGCATTGATTGTGTATGCCCTATTATCATGATATTATGATAGATCATATAGTTCATATGATTATAGTGTTTAACAACTGCACATTTGCAATGGTATTTCTTTTAGTTGATGTATATGCAAATCGAAAGGATATATATGATTTAGATAACCCTCTTAGTTGATATGCCAAGAAGATAATTTTTTCCCTAATATTAAATCAGTTTTTATTGGTAAGTTTTGACCCGCCCACCGTGTAAGATATTGTCCACTTTGCACACTCTCCGTGCTCACGGTTTTCAAAACGCGGCTACACAGTTAGGAGATTTCCACACATACAAGTGCCAGCAACCTCTACCCCTAGGCAGCATGGGACATCACAATCACCCCCTCATGGGACCCAAGTCCTCGCTGGTGTGATTCTCGTGGGCTTGTGCACGCTCCCCCCATTTGCAGCTAGGGATTAGTTCTGATACCATTTGTCACAATCCACCCCAGTGTGTAGATATTGTCCGCCTTGCACACTCTCTGTGCTCACGGTTTTTAAACTGCGTCTACATAGTTAGGAGATGTCCACCAACAATCTCTTGCCCCTAGGGGATGTGGGACGTCACAGTAGGATTTACTAAGAAAATAAATCCCTATAGAACTTATAAATATTATTCAAGACATGTACAGAAAAAAGAGACTAAATTAGTTCTATGATATGTGGCAAGACTTGACTTTTTATAAATGTAGGATTGGACCAAGGATAAGCACTAAGACCATATTTATTCACAAGGATAAGCATTAAGACCATATTTATTCACAAAAATTTAGGATGAAATAACAAAAGACTTGCAAGGAGAATTTCATGGTTCTTGTTGTATGCTCTGATGATGTAATGTTACTGTATACTTCAAAGGAAAACTTAGCAATAAATCTGAAAATGTGGAGAACTGTGTCGAAATCAGAAGGCTTAAAAATTATAGAACTAAAACAAAATATATGAAATGTAAATCTATTGAAGTGTTTGAAATTGACAATAATACAAAAATGATTGAGAGAGAGATGATGATATAATTAATTGGATTGGATCAGGTTGGACAAAGTGGAGATAGACTAGTAGTATTTTACACTATAAAAGGATCCTAAATAAGTTAAAAGGGAAACCCGGAAGGACAATTATTAGACCAACTAACTTATACGTAGCAGTTTTGGTATTAAAAAAGAAACAAGAACCATGAATTCATGTAATGAAATCAGGAATGGAATGGAATGCCAAAGGGAACAGGATGAGAATGGTCATGATCATTCTCATTACAAATATGAAATGATGGAGGAATGGAATGATAATAACCATTCCAGTGGTTGGTTGGACCAATTTAAAACTTAGAATGAAATGAATTTAAAATTGAATTATCCAAAATACCCCTCAATGAAAAATAAATTAAATTAATAAACTAACATTATTCTATATATATTTTTAAAAGAAATGCATTGGTAGTGGATGGCGGTAACGATGGTGGTCGAGGTGGAAGGCGGCGGTGACGATGGTGGTGGCATTGGAAGGCTACAGTGGAGGAAAACGGAGGTGGTGGTGGGAGCAGTGGTGGTGGTGGTGGAAGGCAGCAGTGGTGTATGTGGTGGTGGTGGAATGTAATGGCAGTGGAGCGGTGGTGGTGGAAGGCGGCAATGGTGTAGATGGTGGTGGTGGAAGGCAGTGGAGGTGGTGACGGCGTTATAGGTAGAAGGCGGCGGGAGGGGGTAACGGTGACAGTGGTTGCAACAATGAAGATGGTGGAAGGCAACGGTGGTGGTGGTGGTGGTGTGATGGTGAAGGTGGTGGCAATGGAAGGCAGCGACAGTGTGGCAGTGGCAGTGACGATGGTGGATGTGGCGATGGTGGAAGGCAGTGGAAGTGGTGGTGGTGAAAAGCAGTGGTGGTGGTGGAAGGTGGTGGCGGTGTGCTGGTGGTTTTTAAACTTGGAATATGAGGGTGTTTTAGGAACTTGATTTTTTTTAAAAAAAATTTACTTGGGAATGGAATGCCCATCCGTAGGTTTAGTTAAATGGATTTTCATTCCAAGATAATGGTAATTCCCACTTTAAATTTCATACTAAAAAAAGAAATGGTTGGAATGGGCATTCCATTCCACTCACGTGTTCCAAACGCAATATGATAATGTTAAGATGGATGTTAGGAATGACTAGGAAAGATATATTACTAATCAAAGTGCGAGGGAGAAATTAGGAATGATGCCTTTTAGCGGTAAAATAAGAGAAAGTAGACTAAAGTGATATGAACATAAACAACAAAGACTAATAAATGCACCAGTAAAGAAGAGGAAGATTAGTTTGTGCTGTGACAAACAGTCGTGAACCAAAAAACAATCATGAAACACAACAAAAAACAAGTACCACACAAGACACAAAGATTTACGTGGTTCGACACAAGTTATGCCTAAGTCCAAGGTGAAGATCTGGCGAAAGATTTCACTATTCGAAAATCAGGAGATTACAAGTTTCAGCCCCCAAACCCTCTCACTCTCTCTTTCTCTTTTTGTGATTTTCAGTCTTCTATCTACCCCCACTCCAAACTCTAAGCGCCCTTATATACCGGGCTACAAGAGAGTACTAAACAGGGTTGATGACTCGCAAGCAAGAAAACAGGTCAAATCTGACGCGACCCGGTCTGCCAACATCACAGTTTGTATAGAGGATAAAGGACAGAGAGACCAAAACTAACATGGAATGATGATAGCAGACACAAATTAACCCATTTTTATTTGGACACAAATACCAACCTAAATTAACTACATATATACATACATATAATATATTAGCCTTCCCACCATTTAAGCCATTTTTATTTGGACACAAATACCAGCCTAAATTAACTACATATATACATACAAATAATATATGACTAGATATATACGGTTCAGGCCACCCCCACCACAACCGCCGGTTCCCCATTGTCGCCACCTCCACCATAACCACCGGCCCCTTGGTCGCCAGCTACACCAACAAACCACTGACTACCGCAATATCTCTCTTTCATCGCAAGTTCCCTCTCTTTCTCTCTCGTCTCAACCACACCACCCATCCATACTCTTTTTTCTCAACTGTAGGACCCGTGGTTAGTGGGAATCCACAAACAATCCCACCGCAATCTCTCTTTTTCATTGCAAGTTCCCTCTCTCTCTCTCTCAACCACACCACCTATCCATACTCTCTTTTCAACTGTAGTACCTGTGGTTAGTGGGAATCCACGAACAATCCCTCTCTTTCTCGCCTGATTCTTTGAGATTTTTATAATCAAAATTCAAATGCTGAGTTTGGTAAAATCAATTTTGGGTTTGTGTTTAGCCGTAATCTGAATCTGGGATTTTCAAAATAAAAAGTTCAAATGTTGAGTTTGGCAAAATCAATTTTGGTTTTGTGTTTAGCCGTAGTCTGAATTTGGGCTTCGTTTTCAAATAGAAAAAAAAAAAATCCAAAAATCTCTAACCAAATACTTACAAATGGATTTCCTCGAGCATTTTTTTGATTTTCTATCTTCTAAGCAAACGTAGAAACTAACATACAAAACCAGACTCCAACACAGTCCAAAACTAAACTATTTCTGAAATTTAATACTCCTTAATTCTATAAATCATATTTCTTAAAAGGAACAAAACAATCAACAAGTAATAGAATTAAAAGAATTCTTGACTTAAAACACACAAAATAATTTTTACCAAAAAAGTATCTTCATCACCAATATTCATACACAAGAATTATATATACATACATATAGTCCTATATATACACACACACATAAAAAGGAAAGCAAACAAAACAAATTAAAGAAGTCATTAATAATTAGCTAACCCATTTGAGATCTCCAATTATTCTGATCAGATAATTAATATCCTCCTC